CCCCCCCCCCCCCCAAGATTTAAAGAAGCCATCCTTGGTAATAAACTTCCTTGAGAAGGCATAGGCTCACCCTCATGCCTGCAGCTTCACCTGGTAGATCTAAAGAGAATAGCCAGTGCAGAACATTTTTTAAATTTTCATCCCATTGCTTTCCTCGGATTCATTCTTGAATAAGTACAATATCTTAGGAAGTATAATGTCAGGTGTAGTAGTATATGCTTTTACTCACAGTGCTCGGGGGCAGAGGCAGATGGATAATCTCTATGAGTTCAAGGCCAGCCAGAGCTACATAGTGAGGCTTTGTATCTATAGAGCCAAAACCAAAAGAAATAATAAGATAATATTTCACTCTTAATGCAGTTTTAGTGAGTTGAATAAAAGCAGCATTGTTAATAACAATGTATATTTACTCTGCAGTATTGATCCGGAATCTTTTGTGGCTTGTACTTACCTCATAGTATTCAAAAATTATATCCAAAGCTGTGAGCCTTAGTATAAAATACAGATATGAGAAATTCAGGGAAATCTCCAACAAATGTGGAAGTTTGCTGTATCTGAGAGGCGACAGCTGTGTTACAAATGTCACACGGAGCATCCTCCTCCACTGTCAGAAATAGGCCTTCGGAATATAATCACTGGCTGAATGACAGCCGTGGATATACTCCTATTTCCTCAAGTATTTCAGAGTGTAACTTTGGTGGGCAATCCTAAAAAAAAATTACATCCTGTTGAATTCCTTAATTCCTCAAGAAATCTTTTCTTGAGAACAAGAGTTGGAAAATGTTTACTTTTTCTACATTTCTTTTTAACCTATACCACAGGTGACTGGATTCTTAAAGAACACATAAACATTCACAGTAGCTGCCTCACCGTGGATGAGCGGGCGCCAGCCATAAACATACACGGTAGCCGCCTCACCGCGGATGAGCGGGCGCCAGCCAGAGCCTTAGTTGAAGGGTGAATGCATAAGCTGGAACACTTGGCCTTAAGCCACATTCGTTATGGCTACGTACATTTAGGATTATGAAATTATCCATGTGTAAGCTTTCGATTGATTTTCAACAGACTAAACTCTGACAGTCAAATATAGTGAATTGGCAGAGGGAGAGGCATGATTCCACACATACGGTCATACCATGTATCTTATACCTACACACAGACAGTAAATAAAGGTATGTCATGTACTTGGTAGTAAGTGACACAATAACAGAATTTGGTAGGCTTGGTGCCATAACCCTGGCAGTAGGCATTTACTTAGTACATGGTAGGCTCTGAATTCAGCCCCCAGCACCTAAACAGTTTGAGAAGGGGATATATGTACGTACGTGTACACACACACACACACACACACACACACACACACACACACACAGGATGAGATGAGAAACATGGCATTTCTAAATGAAGGAGAAGGGCGTGGTCAAAGTACAGATGTCAAAGAGTTGAAGGGTTTTTGAAAACAGGTGATGGGGGGTTCTAACCAGCCAGAGCAGAGAGTGAGAGAGTGAGGAGAACTGACAATGGAAATGGTTAGAGCTGTTGCTGAGGGAGAGGCCTCCTGAGCTGTCTAGTGAAGAGCCATGCTAGCATGGCGTCTAAGTAAGTATATGAGAGAAAGATCGGTACCTGTAAACACTCTACCTCCATGCTGGGCATTGAACTGGGACCTTAGTTACACATCCTAGGCATGGGTTCTAACACTGTAACCCATAGCCCATCTGTGGCAGTTCTGTCATTTTAACATTGGCTATAGTAGATTGTAGATCCTAAAAGTCAAAAGAGTTGTAAAGTAATTATATAGATAAAATAGTCTAACCTCATTATTAGTAGATACTAGCATAGAGACTCAGTCACTATAGAAATTGATGTTACAGAATAGAATCTTATTTTGAGAAACATTACCATATTCTTTCACACCTATGTTAAGTAAGTTGCCATTGATAGAAATGTACTGAAAAACCAGAAAAGCAAGAGAGTGACAAAAATCTAAGCATTCGACTCCTCCTTAGCCTGGAAATTGACGATTAAGAGTCAGCGGGTAGACACAGTTGTAGTCTGTAAAGGCTTCTGAAACCTCAGCAAATGTAGGAACTGTTGATAGGATGCAGAGGAGCAGAGGTCTGGGAGAGACACAGAAGAGAATGTTCAAAATTATTTTGAAGGGGAAGCTTTTTTTAGGATAATTAAAAAAATGTTTAAAGTTAAAGGAATGCTATTCAGAGTTAAGTCGGATTTTTTAAACATAAAGATACCTGCTCTATCAGATAGAATTGTTCTTTTTCTAAATACTTTTTAAAGTAGTACTATCAAAGATACATCTTCCTCCCCTCCCCATATTTAATACAGACTGGTATTTGTTTGTTTCTGTCTTGCGTTTTGTTGTTTGTGACAGGGCCTCATATAATGAGCCCAGGATGGCATCAAAGTGTTTAGTTGAGGCTGCCCTCTGAACTCCTGAGCTTTCCACCTGCCTCCTTCATCTCCTGAGTGAGCACCGTGGGATGTACACTTGATATACATATAAGTTTGATCCATGGGATGTACATTAAAAATGGGGTGGAGATGAAGACCCGAGGATCCCTGGAGTGGACTAGCCAGTCAGTGAGCTCCATGTTCACTGAAAGGTTAAAAACTATGGTGGAGAGTGGGTGAGGAAGACACCAGGCATTGACTTCCACCTACATGCACACACATATATAAAAAGAAAACAAGAAACCACTAAATTAATGAGATAATAGGTGCTAGGTGGGTAGCTTGGCAAAGTGATTGCTACACAAGCAGGAAGACCTGACTTCAATCCACAGAGCCTTGGAAACACCCAGGTAGAGGGGTGCATGCTGGTAATCCTAGCACTGGGGAGCTGGAGACAAGTGGGGCTCATTGGACAGCCAGCCTAGCCTGTCAGCCTCAGGTGCAAGTGACAAACTTTTCTCAAAGAAAGTGACATCATCTGAGCAATGACACAAGAAGTTGACCTCTGACGTGCACACACCTACAACAAAAAGATTGCTGGGCTGGAGAGATAGCTCAGCTATTAAAGGCGAGGCTCCCAACCAAAATGCCAAGAAGACAGCTAATGAAATTCAAGTCTGTATTTTTTGTGTATTGGTATGTGACGTGTGTACTTGTTAGTGTAGGTCTGTGCAGTTATGCATGCATATGTGTGCACACTGTGGGCCCAGGGTTGTTGGCTAGGTAACCTTGCTCAAGTGCTCTCCACCTTATGTTTTAGGTTTCTCATTGAGCCTGAAGCTCATCAATTTGACTAGACTGGCTGGCCAGTGGGCTTCAGGAACTCACTTGTGTCCTCACTTCAGTCCTCCTCGTGTGTGTACTGAATGAATGGGATGTGGGTGTGTGGAAGTAAAGACACCGTCAGTTGTCCATTCTTGCCTTCCGTTTTTGAGACAGGTCTCTCTTTCTTTGCTGTGTGTGGCAGCCTAGATGGTCTGTAAGCATCCAACCATTCTCCTGTCTTCCATCTCCCTAGGTACACTGGTGTTATAGGCATGTGCTTGTATTTAGGTTCTGGGGATTGAAATTCAGAGTGACAGACACTGCAGCAGGCACACTCACCTAACAGTGAGCCATCTCGGCAGCACGCTACTTAATCTTTTAATGTGCTTAGATTATGCTGTCCTGTTTGCACTGGTTTACTTACCTTCTTATTCTTATGTTTTACTATTAAAAGGATGTTCATATGGGGTGGGCTGAGCATGTTCTGGTGTGTACTCACAGAAGCCAGAGGCATCTGTCAGGTATCCTGCTGTGTCACTCTCAGCGTTATTCCTTAGAAACAGGGTGTCTTCATGAATCAGCACTATGCTGGCAGGTGGCAACCCCAGCTATCCTGACTGCCTATCACACACAGCCTTGAGCTTATAGGCATGTACATGGCCATACCCTGCTCTGTGGGTACTGGGGTCTGAATTCAGGTCCTCAGGCTCAAGCAGCTAGTGCTCTTACTCACTGAACCCTCTCCAGTGCCAAGGATGTGTTCTTGTAGTAAAATATTTGTTTATTAATCTATGGTAGTCTAGATGACATAGCCATTAAAGGAAATTCATTCTTGTTTCACCCTGTCTTAAAATTTTTCCATTGAATAAAATTTTTATTAAAATATATTTACTCTTGTTTATGTGTATAATGTTTTGCCTGCACGTATAGTAAGTGCACCATGTAGATGTAGTGTCTGAAGACAAGGAGAAGGTTGGAGCTTCTGAAACTGGAGCTAGAGATACTTGTGAGCTGTCCTGTGGGTGCTAGAAACTTAACCCCAGCCCTCCTCAGGAATAGCAGTTACTCTCAGCTGCAAAGCCATCCCTCCAGATCCCTGTAAACAATAAACTTAAACATTGTGTGTGTGTGTGTGTGTGTGTGTGTGTGTGTGTGTGTGTATCATGGGTGTTTTACCTGCATGTGAGTCCTTGTATCACATGCATGCCTGGTACCTGTGGAGGCCAAAGAGGACATTGGATCTCCTGGGACTGGAGCTGCAGATAGTTGTAAGCCACTATGTTGATCCTAGGAATTGAACCCTGGTCCTTTGGATGAACAGCCATTTCTCTTTAAATACTGAGCTATCCAGCTTCTTAAACATCACTCTAAATAAGTGTCTAGATCCATGAGAGAGTTCTCATGCAAAACCGTTAGTGTACCATAATGCATTCACTGGAGCATTCAGATTGATGTTGGTTACATGTATATGTGGGCATAGTTCTGAACTCTGCCCCTCATTAACACAAAGGACAAATCTCTTTGTTACAGTATTATTTCAGAGGGTACCCATGAAGATTAAATGACCTTGTAAAATTCCTAGCACAGATGTTGATTTCCCCTCCTGAATGTTATGGAGGATATAGATAAGTAGGCGAAATGTGTATTCTAATTGGAAAGGCTTGGGAAGCCTGCAAGGTGGAGTTACTTATTATAATAGGTACAGCATAGGTGATCTGTGTGAACTTTTTAAAACTCTAGACAAGAAAACACAACTTAGGTAATAGTTTCTTATGAAGCTGTGAAACAGTTACTTTAATAGTATTTTGAAAACTAATTGCTGGGGAAGATGTTTCTGCTGCCCATTATCCATTCAAAGCAGTGGGAAAATAAAATTTCCCATCAGGTATAATGATTTTTAAAATTAATTTACTTTATATTTTGACTGCAGTTTTCCCTCCAGGTAAAATAATTTTTAAATATGTTTTAAATTTTAAATATGGTCATCATTTTAGTGTAGTGACTTTGTGATGCCAGGCTTTGTAAACAGTCCCATTTTTGTTTTTGTTGTTGTTGTTGTTAGTGGTGAGTGTTTTGCTTTGTTATTGTTTGGTTGTTTGGTTTTTGAGACAGGGTTTCCCTTTATAAACCTGGCTGTCCTTGAACTGACTGAGATCCTCCTGCCTCTGCCTCTTTAGTGCTTGGATTAAAGGTGTGTGCCACACTGCCTGGCAGTCCTGTTTTTTATTTACTGGTTTGGTGTAGTGTACTTTTTGGAAGATAACTACAACTTCGCTAGGCAGAATTGGTGCATGCCTTTAATCCCAGTACTTGGGAGTCAGAGGCCACCCTGGTCTACAGAGTGAGTTCCAGGACAGCCAAGGCGAAGGACGGACTTTAACCCACCACATCAGTATAGCCTTACTACTACAGTCCAACTTGAAATAGGTTTAGGTAGCCATGGCTATATATCAGAGTTACAAAATAGATATAAAATATCTAGATCCTCTAGGATAAGTTTAGATCCTGTGTATCTTGAAATACAGCGTTGGCATCTATATAATTTAAAAGCTTTGCAAATGATTGTTCAGAGAAGCCAGGGTAGCCACTTCTCCTGTAGGCCAGTTGCCTACTGGAGAAAGGGGTTGAATCAACGTCCCGCGATTCAGTTTTTTAAATAATACGAAAGACTTTTGTTTATTAGGAGTTTTAGGGAGGCCTTTCACAAGATCTATGTGAAATTAAATGAAACGTTTCTTTCTGAAAGGTCTGATTAAAATGTGACAGTTACTGATTGGAAGGAACACACATCATTCAGTCATACGTAGCCTTTCCTGAACACAGTCAGATGGGGACCTGAGGGGAGCATAGTTAGTATAAGGGGAAAATATATAAGGAAATCTTAGCATAGAACTCATCCTGCAAAAATAAAGTTAATTTGACAGTTAATATCCGTGTGGAAAATAGGGGAATTTAAAGAAATAAAGCGTAACTCCACTACATGGCTATTCTGTATCATTATATCATCATGTTTCTTATCTTTCCAAGGACTTTAGGAATAGTCTTAATTATTTTTATTTCTTACGAATGAGTGCTTCTCTTGAAGAAAAGTCTGTGCGTCACTAATGTTCTGGTGTCTAAGGAGCCCTGAGGAGGGCTTCTGATCTCCTGGGACTGGAGCCATAGACAATCGTGAGCAGCCATGTGGGTTCTGGGAATGACCTGGGTCCTCTGTTCTTAACCACTGGGCTATCTCACTCCCCTCTCTTTCACAGCACTTCAAATGTATAAAAGTGAACAACCCAAAAACAAGTAAGGCATGCACACACATTCTTTGCTTTCTGCCATAGGACATTTTTTTTAAGCATTCACGTCCCTTCCCTCACTTTTCTCAAGAATATCACAATTTATTATGTGGATTTATTAGTGGTACATCTCCAAAGATAGTTAAGACTATCAATAACCTATTTCATTTTTTTTTTTATTTTCCTAATATTTGAGGAAGAAAACTTCCAAACAAGCTAAAAATTGGAATGGCAGTGAATGCTGTGTAGATTCCAGCTGTTTGTAATTTGCTCTGTTTCGCTTTGTCTGTCTTAATGTCTGTGCATAAATACACTATATCAAGCCTTTTTGTGACTCTTTGAAAACAGGTTAAAGACATTACAATATTTTACATACATGTTAACATTTCAGAGCACAGCTTCTTCTAGAATAGCAACATCTTTCTATATGGCAGTAATACTATGGTCCTATCTAGAAAATGAAGAACATTTCATAATGCCATGAAATATCAAATCCAGACTTCCTTAATTGTTCCTGAAATAACTGTACTGTTGTTTTCAAGCAGTTCAGTCATAGCTGTAGTCAAACCTGCATTGTTTGTCCTGGATTCCAACTTGGATAAGCCTTAGCCAGCGTATGAACTTTGTAAATTTTGTGTGATTGTTTTCTCCTGGTTTCCTTAGCTTACTCTCCTTGTCTGTTTTCTGGTACACACTCAGGGAGTCAGTACTGTTAGGTTCCTAATTAGCACTTTTTTGAAGGAATGTAGGATGTGACTCACTGATAATAGTTTACAGAAAGGGGGCACATATGTTAAAATGGGCTGTCCTGATGTGGGGGACTTGTATGTAAGGCTGTCCTGATGTGG